GATCTTATATACACAGCATTCACATATTCTTAGATTTAATGGAATTTGTAATATTGTTTTATATTTTATATATGATTTTACATTTACTAAATACCTATATGTATTTGCCAAACCAGATTTTTTATATGAAGCTTGAGAATATGGACTTGTGAGACAAAAAGAAGCAAGGAGCTTGTGAAGAATTGTTGTTGTTCAAATAGTTCAGGGCTAGCAAGCATTCAAATAAATGCTGTCATCTTAAGGATTGGAATGACTTTGAATGTACAAAATAATTTAGTACTGTCTATTCTGGTGAACTGCAGCTGTACAAAAGGCAGAGATTGCTTTGAAAATGTTAGTTCTGTAAGCTAGGAACTGCTTGTTCTCTGTGTGCTGTAGCTTAACCTAAAACAGGAGAGAGAAACCATACAAAAACTGAAGTTTTTGTTGTATTTTTGTTGTAACAATTAAAAAAAAGCAAATGTAACTGTTGTTTATTCCCGCTAGGGGGCCTAGTTAAATTTCAGTGATCACTTATGGAAAATGGGACATAAAACTATAACCTTTTTGAAGATGCTGCTTAATAATGATACATTTTTATTTGCACAGTTATAGTATGTGGCATCACTAAGTATACAACAGAAAAAGTATGGCACCAAAAGCAATGTGCATTCAAAAAAATCTTGGCATATAATAAAAGGAATTCCGATTATTTAAGAGATCTGAACTCCAGACTCAGCTCAGCAGAGCCTGAACTATTTTCTCTGTAGTATACATGGAGTGACCCTTAGACTAGGCCTGGGCAAAATACAGATCCAGCCTGCAGAGGCAGTGGTGAACCCCAGGCAGGCTTCCCCTGCTTGCCCCACAGCCCCACACGCCACTTTGAAATGTGGCTGTGGGGCCCTTTCTCTTTTGAGTACAGAGGGGGAGGGGAAGTGGGAAGATTCAGACACCGCTCCTGCCCCCAGCATAATCCCATTGGCTGGTTTCTGGACAGACACTGGCCAATGGGAGCTGCCTGTTTGAATAACAGGCAGCCACAAAGCACAACCCTCATACTCACTCACTCAAGCACATGGCTGAGCAGGCAGAAACATTAAGCTCTGCAAGCCTTTAGCTCTGCAGGCAGGCAGTCAGGCAGGCTGATAAATCTCCTTGTGAGAACCTGCCTCTGGCATCCCTCCCTTCCCTAACCCTCTGCCCCACACGCCTGCCCTGCTAGTCCATGTGCACCCATACCTCCTCTCAGGTCTGGCACCCTATCTCCTGCCTGAGATCGCAATCCCCTCCTACCCTAGGTCACATCCCAAAACCCTGAACCCCAGTTCCCTGCCCTGTCACAACTGTTTCTTTCACCCAAATTCCCTCCCAGGCTCCATTCTCCCACAGACCCTGCACCTCCTCCATTAATACCAGGGAAGAGTGCGGCCCATGACAACTTTTCAAAATCTTGAGAGTGGCCCCCCCTCCCTTGCCTTAGATTAAACTTGGGCCAACTGACAAAAAACAAACAAAGAAACAAACAAATCAGACAAACTTTCACGGTAGTATAGAAAGTTTAATGATATTTCCAGACAAACTTTCATGGTAGTATAGAAAGTTTAATGATATTTCAAAGTCCAGTTAATACCCTTTGATGAGCCTAGAATTACAAAATTGCTTCACAGTATTTAACCCAATTTATAATTTCCCTTGAATTTATGATTATTTATTTATTTTTTTCAAAACAGATGATTGCCTTTCCAATAAATGGATTGTGTGATTTTTATTATATTTCACAGTCTTATAACTCTATACAAATATTGTACTAAAAGTACAAAAATAAGTGCTTTATGCACATACTTTTTAATACTGTTCCTGTCTCTTTGCTTTGGCACCTGCTATAACTTACCTTATATAAATAGCTGGGGGTGGGGGGAAAGCAGTATCTAGTTATTTAACAAGTGAAAAGGAGAAATGTTTTTTACTACAGCAGCCTTTTTTGTTAATAGTAGATGTATGGATACATTCGTTCTTGGCAATTTTCACTAGTATATCATTGCTAAAAATTATTTAAAACAGATGTGTATAGGGGGAAAATTGAGTGAAAACACCAATAATAGTATTAATTATTTAAACCTCTAAGTACAATGGCTGGGCTTAAATGGTTTCCCGCAGTACTGTTATTCTCTGCAAGCAAATAGTTCTGTAGCAATTGTAGATGAGAATGCCATGTTTTTTATCACCTTAATGAGATAGTATATAAATAGAAATAAGCTCCAGCAATTACAGAAGTACTGAACTTTCACAAATGAGGCCAGATCTTGCACTCTATTCAGGCAAAACATCTATTGTCATTATTGGGAGTTTTGCCTCACCCAAAAAGAGCAGGACAGGGATCCATTTCATTTCAGTGACTCTTACATATGAATAAAACTGTTGATAATACAACAATGAGCTAAGTTAATATGACACTAGAGAGACTAAGGGGCACCATAGATTTGACATTAATATAATTTCCCTATTGTTTACTAAAAATCCTTAAAGGGATACTGCCAAGGTGGGTAAATCCCAAATGATCATTTGTCCCTTTATATATAAGTATTTGCTTATGCATGCTGTTTCCAGTTTTGGTTGTTTGTTCATTTTAAGTTTTAAAACATTTACTTTTGTAAGAAAAGCTATATATATAAATATAACTTATAGTCTGTTTCTGATTGCACTTTCCTTACATTTGAGTATTTTGCACTTAAATACCACTCTCTAACTGATGATATTAATGTGCTTTAGCAATTAATAAAAATAAGCAATTAATTAAAAAATAAGCAATAGCCCTTAATTAATTTAATCTATGAAGAAGGGGAAATTTCAGTTTTATAAAGCACATTTTACAGATAAAGTGAGCACAAAGGCATTAAGTGACTTGCAAAAAACAGGGGTCCTGATTCCAAGTGATAAACCCATCCTTCTTTCTACTACTTCACAAAGCCAATGGGCTTCATTCTCCTTTCATGCTGCCCGAAATCAAAGATAATACCACTGAACTCAGTGGCACTGAACAACCAACCCGAAAGCTGGAAACAGCATGCATAAGGAATCTTATGATGTCAAACCAGGTCATGGACATGATGGGTGTTGAGAAAATAGACCTGATTCTGCTCCCATTATAGTCAAGGACAAAGGATTTTAATGGCACTTTAACAGGTCCAATGTTAAAAACATAATTTGCTCTCAAGCCTCCAGTGGATAGAATAACGAACTAAAAATAAAAAGCAAAAAGTTTGAAAAATGACTACAAATATTCTGACAGTGTCCCTTTAAGTTGCCTATATAAATTCCATAGCATGTGTACATTTAAAAGAGCAATTAGGGTTTAGAAGAGTGATCCCTGTCTCTTTATAACAAAGTAGCAAAACACTGTATGGGTAGGTAGACTAATAGCATTAGAGACTATACAGCTTATACATTTGTTCCATTACTACTACAAGCAAGTCAACACAAATACAAGAAAAAAGTAAATACAAACATTTAACTGTTACTAGTCTAGAAAACATTATTCATATATCAATGTGCTTTGAAGAGCTTTATATATATTAAAAACTCTACTTAGAAAAGTAAAATAATTTTCACAGTGTCTTTGTTTTACATATACTGGTTTACAAATTTGTGGCCTGATCCATTTCTCATTGAAATCAAGGCAACACTCTCAACTACCCTGGGTGGAGTCAGGATCGGGTAATTTTTTAGCACTGAATGCCTCACATGTGATTAGTATGACAGAGCGTGGAAGGGGTGGAGGAAGTACTTGTTTTGCTCTTTGATGGAGAAAATGAATAGCTCAAATAGTGGCATTAAAAATGACTGGTGACGCCAATAAAAAATCAGATATTGTAAATCCTTCCTGTTAATAATCAAAGATGTTTGTGGATAATGTCGAGATATAAACTCAGATATTATAAACTTTCTTTCTCCCTGTATTAAAACTATTTGGGTCATGACTCATTTTTCTTGATTTCATAAGCAGAAAGTAACATTTACAGTTTACCTAATAAAGAAAAAACTAGAAATCCAGGACCATAGGTTAAACTTTCCACTCCAAAATATGAAAACTAGCACTGTCTCAGGAGGATCCTGTTAAAGTCAGTTATCAGAGCATCTTAGAAGGCAGTACTATAATAGCAAGTGTGTGTTATACAGTGTGTTTGCTGTTGTCAGCAGCTGCACAACTATATTGTGTCAGGTTTTTGGTTACTCACCCAAAGAACAATCTGCAGTGTGTTTTTGTGATGCTTTTCCTCTTTCATTTCAAGTACTACAAATGATTGATGTTAATGAAGTGAAATTTCAATCTTAGCTCAAGTTTTATTAATTAAAGATTGGCCCAAATTAAAACATCAGGCTATGTCTATACTAGGAAACTATTCTGAAATAACTAAATTCAACTTAATAACTCCCAATTTTACAAAATCGAAATAGCATCCCCCCACATGGGGAAGCCTTGGAATTCGTCCAAGGCAGGCTCCGTTAATGTGGATGTGCTACCTTGACTTAGAGCTCCAGAAGACACTGCCCAGTAATTAGTTTGAATTACTCTGAGAGTAGTTATTTCAAAATAGCGGCACCAGAACATCCACACTAGAGGTATTTCAAAATAATTATTTCAAAATTAGCATTATTCCCTGAGAAAAGCAGGAGTACAAATGTTGAAATAAGTGACCCTTTATTTCAAAATAATGGGCTTGGTAGTGTGGATGCTCCACTTATAAATTAGACCAAAGGGGGGTTATTTCGAAATAATGCCCTAATGTAGACCAGGGCTCAGATATGAACACACTTGGGCTGCGTCTAGACTGGCATGATTTTGCTCAAATACTTTTAATGGAAAAGTTTTCCGTTAAAAGTATTTGTGCAAGAGAGTGTCTACACTGGCATGGATGCTTTTGTGCAAAAGACATCTTTTGTGCAAAAGCATCCGTACCAGTGTAGACGCTCTCTTGCGCAAGAAAGCTCCAACGGCCATTTTAGCCATCAGGCTTTCTTGTGCAAAAAATCAACTTGTCTGTCTACACTGGCCCTCCTGCGCAATAATACTTTTGCACAAAATCTTGCCAGTCTAGACGCAGCCTTGAATTTTGGAAAGGTTGGAGCCAGATCTTGTGCCTCTGGTACGTTTCTGTGTGATTTGTCTTGAACTGAAGAGCCCTACATTTTCTATAATGTTTACATATTTATAGTAGTAAAAAGATTAAGTCTCACATTCAGCAAGCTCTTTTGGATTTATCTTCTCAGAAATGTCACATCTTTCTGAGCACACAATATGATAACTAGCGTTGATTCACTAGGTAGAAAGTGAATCGAGTATCATAGGGGCACAGTGGGACACAAACTAGGCAGGGCTGTATGTGCTTTAGGCTCTACATCCCACAAAAAATCATGTGAAAGAGTAGAGTAAGGTTTTTGAGCCCCATAGGAATTGGAATGCAGTATCTTACTCCTGGAAGCTTTCCACATTTTTGGTGTGAGAAAAAGATGCATGCGATACTTGAGTCTTTTCACTAATAGGAGAGGAGGCAGGTTATTCATGGGCAGCTCAGAGGTGACTGATACGGCAATAAAAGGCCCATACTGTAAATCAAAGGGGAATTTTAATATCACCATAACTGTAGGGTGTAATGCCATTCTATAGCCAATGGACTTTGGCTCTTCAGGCTAATGGAGACTTTACATCATTTCAACAACTGATTTAAAAAAAAACCCTGAAAGGATTACCTACAATTGTTTTTGGGAGGTTCAGAAAATTACTATCATCTTGAAACCCTCAGAAGTTGTAATGAGGCTAAGCACTGCCTAAACTCTTACCATGCTTGTTAGAAGACTAGTAAATGCAGTGGGAAAACACGATTCAATTAATTAGTCAATTGCAAGGGCCAGCTATAAATTGCAACAGATGATATTACAGTTATTAAATTGATACTTCACTGGAGTTTTGCCAAAAGGCCATACGAAGATTCTATGTATTTGGTTTAAATTACAGTGTAACATGTAACTTTGATATGGCTTCAGCATCTTGCTAAACTTTGAACAAAGGCAGATTAATTCCATTAGTTCTCAAAGTTTCATTTTCTTACATTTATCTGGTTTTAAATTTTTGCTGGCATCATTGCTATGGTAGAGAACAATGCTCGCAGGTTCAATAAGCAATTAAGTGCCAATGTAAGAGGGTATAATTCCAAAAACTTGCTTATACTAGCAGTGAATTTGTCCCATCAAAATGTTTTGTGCCAGAAGCACACTGATCTTCAGAGAGTTTTAGCTAACCTAATGATTAAATCTCATTTCTGAATTCTCATGGTCTGATTTAGCTGAAAATCAGCCACAATAAGCAATCCCTTTCTCAATTTTATCATTCGTAGTTACAGGAGGCTTTTCTAAATTATTTACTCTCTAGGTCAAAAGTACCATTGGATGGAAGTTGATAATACAACATTGTTTTGTTGAGATTGCCTCCTTCTATACAGACCTGAACACTGCAAGGTGATAGAGAAAACTCCAATGACTGAAACTTATCCGTTGCATTAAATATCAAATCAGCTCTGAAACACACATTGACAAGCACAACAAGCTTTTACTGTCAGTATAAACCCGGCCTTTGATATACTGGCCAGAGTTTTGAAAACATTTTAACTACCTAAATGAGTATTTAATGCCTCTAACCTAGTATTTATAAGGAAGATAGGCTTATATATGTTTTCCAAAGGAAATAAAGCTGTGTTCAGGATTTCTGGGCACCCAGTGTTGCCATAAATTTCACACAATGTTTGCTTGGCTTAGGTTACAGTAGGATTTTCTAGCACGATGGAATTGCACATGAGCCAACATAGGTTCATGAAAGCTAGCCATGATCAGAGCACATCTAATTCATTATGCTCAGGTGGGTGAGCAGGCAGAGGATCCACTTCCTGTTGGCTTATGTGAATGAGGTCCAAGGACAAAAGAAGCATCCCAGGACACAAAAAGGCCTTTCTCTCCATTCACATAGCTGAGAGGAAGAAAGAAAAACAGAGACTGAGACATAATGTAGCTAGTTTAGCCAGAGCCAGGCAGTTTGGTATTGGACTGGGTGGCAGCCAAGGCACACTGGTTTAGGAATAGCAGGGGGATTTGCTATGTGGAGGAAGTGAATTGTTTTGTACAAGTGGGTGAGAGGCCGTGTTTCTCAAGGGGAGGGACAGTTCATCTCACCAGCCATTCATATCTCAATAGAGGCTGAGGAGGAGCATTACTACTACTCAGCAGTCTGGAAAGAGGATTCTGTTTTTTCTAGCTCCTTTTTGCTCCTCTCCCATCTGTGCATAGCCCACTTGTGCACCTAACTCCCCCCTCTATACTTTTAAGTCTTGCTGTGTACCATAAATATGAGCATGATAACAGAGCTAAAGTCACTAACTACATAATTGGGAATATTTCTGTTTTCAGCATGGATTATTGTTTGTAAACACACACAGTAATATATACCTGAGAACCTTTTAAGAACTTTTTCCTGGGATAGAGGTCATTTGTTGTTGTTTTTTCCAGTATGATAATTTGATATTTTAAATTTTTTGGTATATATTCTATTGTATAACTATTAATCTAGAAGTATAAAACTACATCTAAATCTAAATTTGGACTCTAAATTAGTTTAAAATCATGAGGCCACAATAATTATTAGACTAAACTAGCCTTTTGCAGCACTCAATTAGAAGAAAATATTGATTTTAATTAAACAAAACACACCCTTCAAAATGTTCCATAACCATCACTACGAGTAGCCACTGCAAAGGCAGGGTAGGCTTCATATGTTGCATAAGGTGCTAAGTCTTGTCCCAGCGTCACTGTTTGTTTTAGTTGTGTAGCTGGTACAGTAGCAGCTGGATTAGCAATGGTGTATCCTGCAGTGAAAAACAGACACAAAAATGTATTTTAATGCAAATGTACCTGCAGAGCATAATATAGCTGATAACCACCTTTTTGTCTACATAAGCAAATAGAGGTTTCATTGTTGATGGTAGCTACATATTAGATTAAATATACTTACTTGTTCTGACATCAGTGTTCTAAGCTATTATCATAAATGATAATTTTCCTTTACTTTGCAGTTGTGTCAGACAGCAACAATTATGAAATAGGTAACTAGCTGAGTTTTCATGTTAAATTTGTGGACCATACCAGTTTCCAACTTTTTTCACTTGTAATTCACTGAATGATTTTTCCCAGGATTGTGCTATGTCTACATTAAAAAGGACAGTACTGTAGGCCACTAGGTTCTACTGAACATTTGGCATATAGAAAACAAGACAGAAATCTACAACATCAGGGTTTTCCTGATCAGGTTTCATGGTGAGGACAGCTATATAATTGGTGGAATTGCATATCACTATTCAGTCACATTTAAGCATTACTATAGTCTCCTCCTGTGTGTGTGTAAGGAACACCACATACAGAGGAGAAATGTTTCCAGCATGTAATCTTGGGAAGATAGTGGCGATTACACTGTATAGCATACCTCCCTAACACTTCAAGTGGCTCAAGTGGGATGGGCTTAAGTGGGCAGCCTCAGGGAATGAGGATTTCAGGGAGAGGTTCAGATGCTGCTTCTGGACGTGAAATGGAGGCTACGGAGAGGAACTGTGTGTGGTTCCTAAGGGATGAGGTGTTCCAGAGCAGGAAGACTATTAGGAGGGCAGGACCAAATGTGAACAGTGCTGCAACCCTATGCCTAGGGCCAGGTGTTGCATAGCTAGACCAGGAGCAGCTGGATTAGCAATGGCATATCCTGCAGTGAAAACCAGAAATACCTGGAGCAGTGAGTCCAGCCTAGCCAGTCCCATAGAACAGTAGCTGCTTCAGCTAGGACAGATGTTTCAGGGGTCAGAGTGGGACAGTCTAACAAAAGCCAGGACTGCTGGAAGGTCAGGTACAGAGAATTTTCCATTTGAATGGTTTTTCAATGGAAAATTCAGTTTCCAAAAATTGAAATGTTTTGTGTAACTTATTTTTATTTTGGTGATATTTTTAATTCATGAAGAAACTGAAACAAAATCTTTCTTTTTGGGTTGGTTTGACCAGAATCACAATATTTGGGTTTGTTGAATTAACATGAAATCTTTTGTTTAGTGTTAAGTCAACATTAACCTGCATTTTTTATATCTCCCATGAGGCAGCACTGTTTCCCCTCTGACTAAAGCTGCTGTGCATCATGGAAAATGTAGGCTCACCATGCAGCCTGGCCAATGGAGAGGATCAGGCAACCAGAGCCACAAATCCCATCAAGCAATGCACTAATAGGGGAAATTATATTGAACTTGCTCAAAGTCAATTATTTTTGGCCAGTTGATCAAACAAAAGGAAATATTTCAATTTGTGAGTGTTGACATTTTTTGTTTTAGATCAAAATTACCAAAACCTTCATTTCTGAATTAAAACTCTTGTAATGTTTTATTTAATAAAAAAGTAGATTTTTCAGCTTTTTTATCTGATTGATGATAGAAAAATTGGGACAGAAATTCAATTTTTTGCTCAATTTTACTATATTGTTGTAGATTCATTATGTTAGTATCAATTCCCAGCCCATTCACTGTGAATACCATTGAATGTGATCACATAAATGAGAAGAAAAGCCCATATCCATGCCAGAAGAAGAGTTGATGCATGCAGATGGACTGAGAACTGCAGGGTTTCAACTATAATTGACTAACGTTCTTTGGCCATTAGCAATATTGCATGTGCATGAAGGCACACACATTATAGGTAAGGTTTGTCCACATATGACAATTTTCTTAATACTAAGTTAATGTGAATATAACAAAAAGTCAAATGTGTTACAGGCTGAAATGTTAATGCATGTGTATTTGTCAAGCTTCCAAGACAAATAAAAAAGGATGGGTGAAAGAAAGGGAGAGCTTATAATAAAGTTATAAGTGGGGACTGGACTCAATAAAAAGACCATTTGGCTTACATGCTGCGGAAGCCTTCACAAACCCAGACAAATTGATTTTTCTGTGGCTTTTGCGGACTTCTGTGGAAGGAAGCCGGATATATGTATATAAAATATTATTGAATCCATCCTCAAGATGCTGCAAAAAACTCAGTAGTATGATTAATGCATGCTTCATGTGCAGTTTGGCTCCAGGCATTCCCAGGATCTCAAAAGCACATTTACAGTGGTGAATAGTGTACATGCAGTGTATATAAATTGGATTTGTGTTTCTGCCTGACATTTTTCATAATTTCCCTATCCATTTTCACTAGTTATTAAAGCTAGTTTTGGCAACTGGCCCCCAAACTGGACCAAAGAAACCTAAAACTTTTGAACTTTGGGTAAAGTTTGGATCAGGACCTAAATGTAGTTGTTGACCTCATTTCTCTAATGGGTTCAGTTGAAACTGTAGCTCCAAACACTTCCAACTTTGAGGACATTCTACTGCAGACTCAGGTCCAAACTTCACAGCTCAAGTCATCTCCAATACTTACTTAAACAAGTTTTCTCCTGGACAAGTAGGGGAGAGGATTGGGGGTCTGGATATGTAGATCGACAGAATGTGTATTTCCAATCAGTGATTTTGAGTCTGAACACAACTGCAATCCTGCCATATGTAATTAAGATGATAACAAAAATATAACTTCAGAAGAGCATTGCAGTACAGACCTCCACATACCTGGAAAAGCAGGGGCTGTAGCATGAGCCTCTGCTCCCTCTGTGGGAATGCCCAAGGTCTGAAGGGTATATTCAGCAGCATATGTCTTGGCTTCATCAACATAAGCACTAAGCTTAGGAGGTGTGAAGGGATGTCTATGAACCAGACACAAAATATTACCTTTTTTTACATTCTTAAGGATCCAATACAAACTCCCCACAGGCCAGTACATGCCAACACCAAGTGGCACCATACTCTGCTAGAACATCAGATGCAAAACCTGTAGCCATATCTTTACTGGTTCGATGATCAAACCTCCCACAACATACCTTTGTAGCCATGAGTCCTACACATGCTATGTGATGTACCTCATCCACTGAACTAAATGACCTGGAAACAGCTATGTGGGTAAAACCAGACAAGCACGACAGTCTCCAATGAATTCAAATGAGACAAGTTAAAAACACTGTTTGGCTTGTGCAAAGGGGGCAACAGACTTGCCACTGGATAGAATTTCTGTTTATTGCATTTGCATTTTTAAAATCTTAGGAAATTACCCAGCAAATATTGAAGTTGCAAAGTCAAGCACTAGATAATTGGGAAATGCCAGAATTAAGGTTGCTGTGCAACTTTAATTTGTTTCCCTTAAGTATATGCTTTGATACAGCCTTTTATTAACTGATCAAATACTGTTTTTCCAAAGGACTCCTGCCCCATTCAGTAGATAGGGGCTGTATCTAGACTGGCAAGTTTTTCTGCAAAATCAGCTGCTTTTGCGGAAAAAGTTGCCAGCTGTCTACACTGGCCGCTTGAGTTTCCGCAAGAACACTGACGATCTCATGTAAGAAATCAGTGCTTCTTGAGGAAATACTATGCTGCTCCCGTTCAGGCAAAAGTCCTTTTGTGCAAAAGCTTTTGTGCAAAAGGGCCAGTGTAAACAGCTCAGATTTGTTTTGTGCAAAAAAGCCTTGATCGCGAAAATGGTGATCGAGGCTTTTTTGCGCAAAAGAGGGTCTAGATTGGCATGGACGCTTTTCTGCAAAAAGTGCTTTTGTGGAAAAGCATCCGTGCCAATCTAGACGCTCTTTTCCACAAATGCTTTTAACGGAAAACTTTTCCATTAAAAGCATTTGCAGAAAATCATGCCAGTCTAGACGTAGCCAGGATGTATAGTGCAAACTGAATGAGCATCTATTTAATATTTTGTTTTATCCCCTTTGTTCAACTTCATCTTTCTTTCCCAAATGCAAGACTAACATAGATACTGGCCTATGTGGTTGTTTCTAGCAATGATGATAAACAAATAGAAATAGAAATAAATAGAAATGTATAAAACTGATTAAAAACCATACAAAACGGAATAGCTACATACATAGTAGGATTCTGGCTGGAAAGGGCTGGAATAGTGATTTTATATAGGAATAGTTGTCTTTGGTCTTGGCCAATTGCAGAGTGCAGCTGATAAACAGGCTGTCCCCAGTTATTTTTCTGGCAGATTTCTTCTAAGACCTAAAAGAGAACATTTTACATCATTTACAGTCACATTTTAATGTTCTGCTTTATCTCCAGTCTTACCTGCTGAAAAAATACATTACTTTCCATGGCTTTTTATTTGTAGATTATATGCTTCAAATTCTGAGTTCTATATATCAAAAGAGTTGGAAGTTTAAAGGGTCATAAATCTAGGAATAATGTAAACAACTTAAACGTTCAACCATCCATTAATTCCTGAAAATAATTGTCATACCACTGAATCTGATGTATTTTCAATCAACTTTGATGTAGAATTGGAATAATTTCTTTTGACTTATAATCATTAATCCATTTATGTGCTCCAGAATTCTGCATTTTTAACTGCTGTTAAAGAATTGAAACAGTAGTATCCTTCACTTTTCTTCTCCTGTGTACTGGTGTGTAGTTCATGAACAGTACTGATGCTCCTGGTGTGTAATACAAATTCTGAGTGGTATTGCCCTCTTCTTTAGAATTGATTATTCCACACAAATAAATCATTGTCCTCATATGTTATTATCCTACTTCATATTTCTTCTTCCAAATCACTTAACACATTGTGTGCCCTGAATCATCCTTAATACTGATAATTAAGAGCTCCATTAGGGCCTCACCATTCTACATAGTTCTCTTTTAATGATGCCAGTTGTTTATTCAGACACTCACCAATTTTATGGATGGATCCTCAAGGTGCCAAATGGCATTAGGATTAAAAGGGGATTGTATACGGGGATATAAAATGAATCCTCCACTGTCCATTGGACAATTAGGTAGATGCAAGGTGATTGACTTTTGCTTCTCACAATCATTTACTTTAACCCTTGTCCAGTATTTATCAGGCCCCTTGCCCCAGTTTTAGTTAATCTCACCCACCCTCCCTTCTGTTAGTTGTATACAAACTGTATTTTATATGTTGCTTTGTGTCTGATTAATTGCCTGTTACAGGGGTCCTGGAAGGAATTTTTCTCAATGGGGCCAAATTGACTGTGGCCATTTTTTTTTTCTTTTTGGCATGCCTCATAGCATAATGAAGGCCCGTTTAGGTTAAATAGGTATAGAATTTCAGACTTTTTATCTGAGGAATTTTATGAATGCTAATTTATTGCAATGTGAGGCGTGTGTCCCATGTGGACAGGAGGCCAAAGGGCTAGTGACTAGGTCAGTGACATAACCTTTTGCTGATGAACTCCAGATCTATGGGCGAAAGGGAGATTCAGATTTGAGTTTTTAAATGGCAATTGTACATAAGTCTGTAGAGACCCTGATTCCTCTTTGGTACTCTCTGTCCCCTTTTCACGGGGAAGATGAGAAGGTTTAGCAAAGCAAGCTGAGTCCTTGGAATAGGCAGTGGAGAGTCTACTCTGATTTGTGGTTTATAAAATAGGAGCTATGTAAACCCCTCACTGGACCCACCTATATGTCTGTTATTGAAAGATGTGGTACAAGTCTGGCAAAAGACTAACACTGGAGAAGCGAACTAACAAAGTTGCAGCCTGCTGCCCAGAATCCATCACTGTGTCTGTCCTGATCAAGTGTCTCTACTAAAAAATGGGCAATAATTTTAATTGGAGGGGGGCAGCCAGGCCACTTTGAGCAGGGTGTAGGGTGTAGGGTGCAGAAAGAAGGGAGCCTGCCCAAGGGCTTGATCCAGCCTGTGGGACATATTTTGCCCACCCCTACTCTACTACATACCATGCTGATTGACTTTAAAATGGAAACACACTATTGTGGAAACCATTTCATATTTAGCTGGAAGCCATTTTGTACAACAGAAGCCATTTAAGTCTCCTGCTTCTGCACGTATACTAGGCGTGAACTGACCTTCACCGAGGTGAGAAAAGCCAGAAGGATGAGCTAATGAACTATTTTGAGCTGAAGCTTCTACTCCCTAAAACCTGTTTCTTTCTTTGCTGATAGTAGTTTTTCTTTGAAGTTCGCTTTGATTTCTTGCCCTGATGTCAGACTTGTTTGGTTAAGGGTATAAAATACTAGGTTTGATTTGTATTGAGCGATCTTATTGGGCCCAGCTCTGCTGGGGTCACGTTTGGCTCATTTTGTGCCTTATTGATCAATAAAGCTGTTTGTTAGCCACCTAAACACATAGAAGTCTTTTGCTTCAACAATTTACACTGCACAAAAGACCATCACAAGTTTTCCATTTAAACTTTCATCAAGGTTAGCTCCTCTAAACTGTTTGTTCAGTGTTGATATGATTTGCACTTACATTTGCTCCAAGTGCTTTACAAGCATCCGTAAATTTACCTCCCTGCTCTTCTCGTAGTTAAGAAAGCACTAAATCTACTTTTTTTTAAATGGGGAAATTGAGACACAGGACAGCATATAGTGCCCTTGATATATAAAGGTGACACTGAAGTCAAAGTCTCCTCCTGTCTCCGTTATCTAATTTATACACACACACACACAGAACTAAGACCCACACAATGCTCTTCTAATGTGGCAGACCTTTTCTTTACTTTATAATTGTATGCAGACTATTCATACTTACAGTACTGCTCTGGACACTTAAGCATATATAAAATGATACATATGGCAAATTTCATTTTTTAAAATAGTTGTTTGCATAAAAACTCAGATTTGAATTTGTGAATGGCAGTTGTATATAAGTTGTGTAGTCCAGCATCCATCTGATTTTCATATATAAATGCAGCTTGTTTATAAGCAAATGTTTATGTATGCAAAAACTTAGACATGAAAAATTGCACATGCAGAATCTTGAATATGAAAATTTGTTGGCAACATTTTAGAAGCTGCTTTTAAAATAGTTAGCCACCAAAAGCTAGTTTATGAATAGCTGGTTAGACTGATTTTAGGATGTCCTATCAATATTGAAATTCACAATAAGACATGTACAACTATATAAAAACTTATCTGAAGAGAGGAAACAGAATTTGGAGGTGTCTGCCATTATAACCACCCTGAAATGGACCCAGGTTAATGACTAATATTGACCAGATTAAAAGATGAATCTAAGATACTATAATTTTCATCTTCTTCAATACTGCCTCCTTGTGTGTTGGAGGGAGTAGGGAGAGAGGGAAGAATACTTTAATTTATATCTGCATATTAGGTGTTTTTCCTTCTAAACATTCTTTTATTCCTTAGTCTTTCAGCTCTCTCTAGACGCTTTTAGATTCAGTAGGTCAAAGGCAGAAGTAATGTGAAAGGGCGTATAAATTCTATGTTTGGATGAGAGTGTACTTCCAGTGAGCCTGTCTCTCAACAAGTATAATTTACATACTGAAGAAAAAATTAATTACACCAGCTTAGTGTTCCTTAGCTTCACTAAGTTCACCTCTGAATTGGTCCTTGTGTGTGTTAGCTAAGGTAACATTTTGTATGTTCCTAAGGAACAGTTTTATCAGGAACAGGTTCATCTACTATAAATTTGAGAGAGTTTGTGTGTCTGTCCATGCATCTGTCCACTTGTTGAAGAACTCCTCTTAAACAGGAAAAGCTAGGACCACCAAATTTGAATACAGTTTCCTCTTATCATAACTTAAACAAGGTCAGGCTTTGGTTGTGCCAGGAAAATGGAATGTGCCTGGAATGGGATCGCCTCTCATAAAATGGAAAGGGAGGGCTCTGCTACATAATGATCACATGGGGCAGCAGGTATTGAAAGCAGGGACATTTATACTGTATAATGACCATAGGGGGGCAGCAATAGGCCAGAGATGAGGATGGGGACAGCTCTAACTCGTCTGGCAGCAGTGGAGAAAGGGACAGTTATCTACTATATATTTCGGAGAGTTTGTCTGTCTGTCTGTTCAGGAACTTCTAACTTGTAAGAGCTAGGACCACCAAATTTAGAATGCAGCTTCCTCTTATCATAACTTAAAGCAACTTAAAGGTTTGTTTGTGCCAGGAAACTGGGATGTGCCTGGAATCAGATTGCTTCTCATACAGAAAAGAGACAGAATCACCAAACAGATGGAAAGAACTGTCTGGGGGTATGGCCCAGCCCTGAATCTTCCACCCTCTAGGTACCCGTTAGGGAAGGTGTATGTGTGTGTGTTGGGGGGGGGGGTGAAGCTCCCTCCCAATTTGCATGGGAGTATTGCTGGCTGGTCCCCTTTATCAGGGAGTGAGAGAAAAGTGTACAATTTGCTCCATGCCTCACTCTGACTGGGCAGCATGGGGAAGGGAGGAACAAATCTGGATCTGTCCCAGCAGGGAACATGTACCCACACAGACTATACCCACTGGAGCTACAGCGGCCATGGAGAGGCACTTCTCACCTGGCCCCAACCTGCTGCAGTAAGGGAAGGCTTGGGTAGTTCTTTTCCCCCAGGACAGACTGCATACTGAACCCCTCATCCCCAGCCACACCCCAGAGCAATGATTTAAATGAAGAAAAAGCAAAAAATAATTGAGTTAGGGATTAGGCCAATGCCAGGTAAAACTTCGATTATTAAATAAATGTCAGTATCAATTTTATTTCAGGTTTTCTCTTTTATAGCCTTTAAATCTATAGAGATAATCTGGCTATAATTATCAAAAAACAGCCTCAGGACACTGGGACACGAGATTCTCAGGAGACTCACAGTCATACTTGTAATTGGAAAGACTTTTTCAGCCATATTTTCGAGGTAATATGCATTCTATTACGCATTTCTTGTGCCAGTTGACAGACCTCTTTTATAATAAACAGTATCCCTTTAATATCAAGGGCAATGTTTTGAAAAAAACATGTGATTTAGGACCATAAATCCCACCATGTAGAATTAAGTGGTGCACCATGAAAGATATCATCGAACCAGAAAGCCCAGTCTATAAAGGAAAATGAGAGCATGAGGGTCCAAACTGTGCTTCCCATCAGGCACTGCAGTACTATTTTTAAATTGAGATATTTAGATTTTCAGATGTTCCATATTTTGATAAATTATCACAATTTTCTGTGGAGAACAGAAGCTTTTTGCAAAAACTCATTTAGTCAAAAACTCAATTTTCCACTGAAAAATAGGTTTGACAGAAGATTTGTGACCAACCTTTAGCCTGTGGGTAGGACTGTAATGGTAAGTATTAATAGCAATACATGCATGTCTAATCCAGACTTCACCAGAATTCATGATGATCTTACTTGAGTATTTTTTTTGCCCAAATAAAGAGAGAGAAGGCTCATCACGGAGGCTAGATCCTCAAAATTCCAGGGAATTTTGTTCTGATCCAGGATTCTGTTTTGGGCCTGTCTTTTAACAAGTATGGTATGTTATTGGTCTTGAGTCTAGTCCTGCATGCTTTAGCTAAAAATAACTTTATGATTGCCACAGGAGTTCTGCTTTTGTCAAGGACTGAGTCATTGGATCATTACCACTTTTCACATTAACTTTAAAAGGAGGCTTCACTGAGAAATATTCAAGTTCTCAGCATTAGTCTTTCATGTTAGATTACACAGTATACACAAAGTAATGCCCTTGGATCTGGCATGGAATTCTCACGGAAATCATGAAAGTCATGGGGAGCTAACATGCTAAAAACTGAGGTCAGTTTTAAGTTCACATTTTTTTTCTTTTGTTACCATATTGGAATAATTATTGTAGTTTTAGGCCTCTAAGTATGTAGTGTTACTATTGTGATATATTATGCCGTGGAAAGCAGTAACTTAAATTATGATCTGTTTCTATGAGTTTTTTTCATTGATTCCTAAAATGTGTTTTTAAATCAAACATACCAATAATAATTTTGTGAACAGAAATCTCTTTATGAGTGTACCTCCCAAGGACATGCTGGGACTAAAGTAAGAGTAAAGTCACTTCAGCTTGTATCGTCTAAAGCCACGTCTCCACTTGCTGCATTGGAGATCTTCTGGCATTAAATTTAGCGGGTCTAGTAAAAACCCAATAAATGAAATGCTGAAGGTACTCCCAGTCAGCTCCAGCACTCCTCGCAGTCGCAAGGAGTAAGGGAAGCCAACAGGAGCATTTGCTCCCATCGATCTCCCACTGCTAAGAGGGTACCAAGTTAGGCTTAAGGTTTGTCAATTCCAGTTACTTTATTTACGTAGCTGGAGTTGCATACCTTAAGCGTTCATTCTTGGTCTAGTATATGCCTGGTCTTAGAATAGTTGGAAAAGGCCCTAAAACAGCAAAGCCCTCCTTTAGGCAGAAAATGGTAACTTTTAGCTATTTTCTGCAATGTGCCTTTTAAAGGAGAGCAGATCTCTATGTGTACATACTTATGATCAACTATCAAAACCTGTAACGATTCAAACAAGACTTAAATCTGTTGTATTGTTCATAAAGCATTAAAAAGAAGACAACTAGTATGGGTCTGACCAGAACATTTTTTCCTAATTTATGGTACCTACCTGAGGAGCAAGTTTAATTCCATGTGGTTTTAAAGCAATATGATTCATTGGGGTAAGTTCCATCCCAGGCAAAAGGTCGTAGAGTTTGTCTTCTCCCCTCTTTTCTCCTTTAGCCTGGTATCCACGACCCAGGCCAGTGTAAGCCAAATATCCACGTCCTCCTAGTCCTCTAACTCCCGCAGCCCCTACAGGTACATTCATGTAAATTTCTAGGAATGTAAGAAGCATTAAACTGAATCAAATCACCGGAAAATCACCCTGATTCTTACTGTAATGGAAAAGTTAGCCCCATTCACTGAGTTTTGATAAGAAGATGGGTAGAAACACTGACTGACTGAGAAATACTGCAGATTCATACCACATTAGTCACGATGAAATGGAATGCACAATGGGAAGTTTCTTTATTACCTCTGAAGAAAAATATAATAATACCATAAATATAGAGCTAGTACCTATACAACTGTATCATTCTGGTTTTTATAATACTCTCAGGGGCATTATTTATATTTAGTACTGGTAATTTCAGGCTGCAAGCTCTGAGCAGCATAGTTTCCTTAGAAAATTCATTGCAAATTAGAAGATATGGGGAACCTGGAAAGTCTAATGTATTACAGTATATAACTGTAAGATGGTCCTTATTCCTATAGCATCGCTTCTGTATTGGATTCTATCAGTAATTTATCACTATACACCAGATTTTTACCTTATCATTTTAATTTTTTTTCCCTGGAGAGCTTTGAGATGTTTTAGTTAGAAGGAATGTCCTAGTTCTTCCTATCTTCACCATCTTCTTTATTCTGTTCAGTCAACATGAGGCTTAACTTTCCATTGAATTCATGCACAGATTACTTTTGATTTTTTACCATGTTTCTAAACAAATTTACAGTTGAAGAGTAAAAGGGACAGTTAAAAATTAGATTGATTACTGCCCATAAGTATAATATAAGCTTTTTAATGAACTTAGAACATATTGTCCGCCCCCCGCTTTTTTTTGAACTAATGACCATTTTCTCACATTACAACTGGTTCCTTTTGAAGGAGTGTTTGGGAATTTAGAAGATTGATTAATGATTGCACACTAAAGAAGTGAAGTGAGTGATTTGGTAGTTTTAACACATTTTTCTAGTGTAATTGTAATGGGTGCTAGATTTATGTATGCACAGTAAACTAAAACATGGACAACAACAATGAGGATTTCCCCTACAGGTTGTACCTCCCTTAATCGGGACTCTCTGGTCTGGCAACCGGACCACAGACATTCCTGGACCACAGAGTCCAGGTATGAGGTTGGGCTGCAGAGCAGGAGCAGTGCAGGGTACGGGTGTGACTACGCCAGGAGCCCTGTGTTGAGGGAGGGGAGTGCAGCAGGGAGATCTGGCCCCTGCTGCCATGTGGTAGCAGGGGACCGGCAGCAGCTGCAGAGTCCCAGCACCCACAGCAGGCGGGATTAGAGATTAGGTTAGTTAATTCAATTCTATTGAGGACTTATGTTTTTAGGGCATCTTTTTCTACCTGGAAATGAGTTTAAAACACCACCTGATTTCACTTAGGACATCGTCACTCTGCTATTAGCTGGTAATGTTTATCAGTTGCTACTAGAAATGGATGAGCAAATCTGGATCTCGATTTTGAACACCCCCAAATTTAATTAAGTCCATTATAAAGTTAATGAGCATGTGCAAAATTCAAACTTTAGTTCTGGGGATGTTTTCAACATAAGGTTTGATTCTTGCCCATCTCTAGCTACTGTAACTTTGCACCAATTATTTCAAAATTAACATTAGCAACTATCCATTCTGATACTGTTTTTTTTTACATTTGTTTCGTTGCAGAAAATAAAAACTAAAAGAAAACAAAAAACCGTACTGAGAAGCATGACATTTTATCATGTTAAATAGTTAATGTTTTGTCTGTACAGTGATAGACCAAAATTGGGACTATATATCCAAATCTGTGGTGGTCGGATACCGTACGACCCCAGACTACTCCTAACCACTTGGTTGCTGCAAAATTAAAACCCAAACAACATGATGTTGCAACAAAACCATCCCCAGTTTTGATTTCTGTAGTCTACATGATTGAAAAGACATCAACAGAGTCATTTGCTAGTGTGTATAGCTGCTTCTTGAAGCACATTGTGCAGCAGTTACTTGTTCTCATCTCTGTTTTGGAAGTTCATTTGTCACTCCTGGTAATGTTGCTTAGGGCCCCAGGATGGCTAAGGTTATGGCCTTCCTAGAAAACTTCATGGTTCTGGGAAGGTGAGAGTCAATACACAGAGCATAGAAGCTCATGGGAAGGGTTAACTTTCCTGAAACCCATTCATGAGCCATTAAAAGGAGGAGAAAAATCAACTGCTAGGCTTCTGGGATAGAATCTTGTTTTGTTTGTTTTTTCTCTCCTGGGACAAAATGGAGGATTTTTGGTTGTTTACTTTGGAGCAAGAGTCATTCAGAGACTGTTACAATACCTTACAAGCATTTGGCTTGCTCCTGGCTTTATGAAGGAGTATATATATTTTGTGTTTGCTCAGCCTGCCTGAAGGGTTTCATCACCCTTTAAAAGAGAAGTTCCCAAGACTGTGGCTATTTTTCAGTGTGTGAAGGCTTTTGGTCCCTTTCTTAAAAGGATGTATGATATAAGAAGTAGAGAAAGCTGGGCTATGTGAATAGGTCTGTCCTAGTGAATGGAGACAGTGATTACCTATGTGTAGGTAATGAGTAGTAGCTGAGGAAAGCAGGAAATGTAAGAGGCTATTGTGTGTCCCAGAAAGATTATTGAATGTTTCATGGCTAGTAATTGGACTTCTAAGAACAGGGTGGGCTGGAGTTCCTTGGTAGTGAGGAACCATTTGTCAGTAGCCCTGGGACACTTAGACCATTAAGCACATGGAGCAGCCCCAGCTTAAGGTCCTCTCTGAAGGACACTGAAGTGCATGAGTGAGGGTGTGTGCTTTGTCTTATACACTCTGAGGTGGTTCATGTTAATTTCTCCATTTAGTTAAAACTGGTGTATGCCTCAGGTTAAAAATAATTTCCTGGAACCAGCTTTAATGTGAGGCATGGACGTGCAACTTTCATGTAGTGCATGGATATTTGATTTCATAAATTTACCCACTAGCCTAGCTAGGAAGCTTATTTCAAAGATAGGTTTTTGTATTGCCATAGACATAACTGCTGAATTACCTCTAATGGAAGGAGGTCGGATAATGCCTCTATTGCTGAGGTGACCCTTGGTGGCAGGGAAATGAAGGTTAGGAATAGCAGCATAGGCCTGAGGTGCATAAAAGACTGGAGCTCCAAGGTAGGCTGTGGCAGGGTCATACAGGTGTCCAAATGTGTAAGTGTATTCTCCTTGCAGCACAGTACCTCGTCCCCCTGTGCCTCTGGTGTATCTAACGTAACTGTCTTTGTCTACGGGTTTTGCTAATGTCACTTCGATAGGGGAGCCATCCAGCACCTTTAAAAGAAGAAGAAATGCATGAAAAAATGTAAGAGAAGCACAAAGGTAGTATAATATCCAACATCATAGTGACTATTGTGTGTAAGCCCAGCCTAATTCTGCATTTTGCTAACCACAACTACCTAGGTGAGGTGGCTGAAAGAGCCTGAGAATCATCTGGAGTGAGGCCATATTCCTAGGAACAGAAAGAAAGAGGAACACCGGCTGCTGTTGCAAAATGTATAAACCATGGCAGTTTGCTCCTCTTCTACCAACTGCTGTTGTGAGGTTAGAAGAAGTTGGTCTATATTTATGCATGGAACTAGGGAGTAAGAGTCCTACCTCCAGAGACATAGAATTATAGAACTGCAGAATACCAGAACTGGAAGGGACCTCAAGAGATCATCAAGTCCAGTCCCCTGCTCTCATGGCAGGACCAAGTACCATTTAGATCATCTCTTCAGTGATGGAGATTCCACACACCCGCTAGGCAATTTATTTCAGTGTTTAACCACCCTGACAGCTAGGAAGTTGTTTCTAATGTCCAACCTAAACCTCCCTTGCAGTAATTTGAGCTCATTGATTCTTGACCTATCCTCAGAGGCCAAGGAGAACAACTTTTCTCCCTCCTCCTTGTAACACCCTTTTAGATACTTGAAAACTGCTCTCATGTTCCCTCTCAGTCTTCTCTTTTCTAAACTACTAAACAAGGCCAGTTCTTTCAGTCTTCCCTCATAGGTCATGTTTTCTAGACCTTAAATCATTTTTGTTGTTGTTCTCTGGACTTTCTCCAATTTCTCCACATTTTTCTTGAAATGTGGTGCCCAGAACTGGACACAATGCTCCAACTGAGGCCTAACCAGTGCACAGTAGAGCAGAAAATAACTTCTTGTGTCTTCCTCACAACACGCCTGTTAATGCATCCCCAAGACTCATGCTTGCTTTTTTTGCAAAGTATCACACTGTTGACTCATATTTAGCTTGTGGTCCACAATGACCCTTACATCCCTTTCTGCAGTACAGTACTCCTTTCTAGACAGTTGCTTCCCATTTTGTAGGTGTGCAACTGATTGTTTCTTCCTAAGCAGAATACTTTGCATTTGTCCTTATTAAACTTCATCCTATTTATCTTAGACCATTTCTCTAGTTTGCTCAGATCATTTTGAATTTTGACCCTATCCTCTAAAACACTTGTAACCCCTCCCAGTTTGGTATCATCTGCAAACTTAATAAGCGTATTCTCTATGCCAACATCTAAATTGTTGATGAAGATATTGAGCAGAACTGGTCCCAAAACAGACCTCTACAGAACCCCACTTGTTTTACCCTTCCAGCATGATTGTGAACCATTAATAACTACTCTCTGAGAATGGTTATCCAGCCAGTTACTTATAGTAGCCCTACTTAGGCTGTATTTCCCTAGTTTATTGATAAGATGGTCATATGAGACTATATCAAATGCTTTACTAAAGTCTAGGTAAACCACATCCTAAGGATGTTAAAATGCAATTATCTGCCTAGTTGTATAGTCGATACAATTTGTATCAACTATACGATTAGTCGATAAGCTCTGCTGTGCAGAGCCACAGAAGAGGCTGGCTCTGGAGCCACCCACCCTTCAGCTTTGCATTTTAAATAGATAGAGGCGGCGGGGGAGAGCGGGAGAAGGGAGAGAATGCAGTACCCTGGGGTTGGTGCTGTGGGGAAGCAGGTTTTAAGCTGGCTCCTGTCCCCCGCTTACTGCCTCTCAAACGGCAAGCAGGGACTGCTTGCTAATGAGCTGCCATTTTTGCAGGGGAGGCTCTTGCATCCTCCCCAAAACCCACAACAAACAACCCCTCCCATTAACAAGAATCCAGTTTTCATTGTGATGTTGATTATAAGCACTGCATCTTCAGCATTGATTCCAGCAGGTGATGCGAAATATGCACCAATGGTACAATGCAATTTTTCTGCGAGGTACAGCACCCTTCAATGCAAAAGTGACTGCATTACCTATTTTCCCAAAACAGATGTTCAAGATAGTGATTGCACACCTCAGAATATGTGGAGTATATTTGTAGATGCGCAGATGGCTTTGTATAGCTTTTAGATTCAATTTTTTGGGAGAACTGTTGAACTGTATTATACCTGACTAATGACTATTTTGTTTTACCAGAGGTAAATGGATTCATTTTCTTAACAAGCATGCATTCAGTTGCAATGCAGAACCTGTGGAAAGAGGGGATTAAAAACTCCATATCTTTGAAATAATGGACCTTGAATTTCCTCTCTTGCAGTCATGATCTTGACACAGGACTATATTTTAATATGTGTGTAAATCCCATTAATATAATTTGAAGTTATATTAGTACACTTTTACAGATTGTACACTTCAGAGAGCAGGAGTAGTCCTATGTGTTTGGAAAGAAATTGGCACATGTCAAGTGATTCCTTAGTAGCAGTAGGAATAAAAGAGGGAATATCAGCCCATAAGAAATATATAATATAATATTATACATAATATTAGTAACATGAAAACAATAAACTAGTTAATAACTCTTAAGACCTGGTTATTGCATTATAATTCCATATGATATATTGGGCATTACAATTGGCTGAATTCTGAAAATAATAGTTTTTCCAGATCTTTGAATTCTGCACAGCTCTTTTGGTTTGATCACGTTTGCAGTCATCATGTACTAATTTACACATTGCCTTGTTTTTTGTTGAAAATAAGGAAAAAATATTCAAGTTCAAGCATGAGATTTTCTAACCTATGATTCAGAATTAGTGATTTATTCATTATTCTGTTTCTTGCATCGAGTCTGTACTCTGATTCATGTGATCAATTTCCCATTATGCAAACAAATAGTAAATAATCAAAAAGAATAGTTTGCGAACACCCAAAAGCTGAGACTTGATTACATAAATTGCAAACAATCTAAAAAAGCAAATACACTTTTCTGATACAAATATATTCTGAATGCTACTAGTCCAGCATTACCTTCCCATTTAAGGCTTTCATAGCTTCAACTGCATCATCTCTGTTATTAAAGTGTACAAATGCATAGTCTCTGATTTTCTTTATTCTTTCGACTGCACCTATAAAAATATTGGGATATTAGTTCTGCAACCCTCTTTTCAAAGGAATACAGATTTGAATTAACATTCTGGGTTGTGCTGTTAGAATTCAGTTTTACAAAACAAATTCTAATCTGCTAACCCTTATGAATATGGTTAACTTTATGTATGTGAATATTACAATGTACTCATTAAAATTACTTGTGTATAACACTAAGCTTGTGCATAAATTGTTGTAGGGTCATGATCAAAGTGAATAGTTATTACACCTCTCATGGCATAGTTTTAACTCTAATTATACAACTCAATGATAACACTTCTCAGAGTTTAAAAGTTTTAATAGACTAAGTAAACTAAGTATTCCACAGATCTGGAATTGCCAAGTATTTTTAAAACTACATTGGTTTGTTTTTCCTATTTGGTTACAGAAAAGTGCAGTTAATTTAAGTAATCCCAAATAGATATGCTATTAACACACAATAAAATAAGAGTTGCCCTTTCTTAATTACAAGGTCAAGTTTACTCTTGCAGTCCCATTTTCAGATATATGACTTCAGCTAGATCAGACTTTGTAAAATTTGGGACTGAAAAGAAAAATATGTATAGTAGATAGAACTAGAACTACAACCAACACAGAATGTAATAGAACCTTGATCCTGGGTTTTAAGGGAAGTTCTAGATTATTCTACAACTATATACATGACAATTTTTTTTAAAACCCCCACAAAAAACCACACCAGCGAGGAAATGCCTTCAAATGCATTTCAATTCAGGAATTTATGTCTGGTAGTCTCTACTATGATGGCTGAATACAATTGTCAGCTGGTTATGTAATATATTATTGAATTATGTCAGATTCAATGGAACATTCACATTCAGTTTGTTTAAAATGTCACTTGGAGTCATATGTTTATGTGATTGATTTTGATTTCTTCTAGGCATATGCAATATAAATTCACTTTGGTTTTGTTTATTTCTTGCAACTTGTCCTTGACTCGTACATCCATGCAGCCTCAGCACAGCCAGCAAGTCTAGAAACACTAATTTCCTTGTACAAAACTTTGCCTTTTTCATTTTTGCATCAGAGCCTTTTGTCAGCAGGCATTATAAAGTCAATGAACAGATTTGTCATCTGTCCTACAGATTGCAAGGTAGTCCTAATATCTGAATATTTGTTCTCCTTTCTGATTGCCAAGCAATTTTGCAGAGCATGTGCATACACAGACACATCACCCAGACAGCAGGAGTGGGGAAACAAGGGTCAGACAGAGAAGCATTACTCCAAATCCAATGTTTGTGTACAGTCTATTAAATCTGTGTCAGTTTACAGATTTTCAATGGAAATGTAGGATTTTTTGATCTATACATCAGATCTTCTGGATTCTGCAACAAGGTGCATTTATGCAAACAAGTGCTATTTGCACAGCCTGTGAGGAAAACTTTATGATGGTTAGAACTCTCATGAAAAAACCTGCACTGTTGATTCTGCCCCAGAAAAAAGAGCAGAGCTGTCAGTGAACATGCACAATAAGCACCTGCAGGTGTGGGACTACAAATATGGATGTACTAAAGGAAAGATAGTAATGGGACAAACCAGGATTGCATGTCAATTTCCCTCACACTCTTTAGAAAGTTTTGCATTCAAAAAATGTAACTCAAGCTGCCCACGCCTGCTCTAAAATAAGCCTTTTTTGTATAGGGCAGTGGTGGGCAACCTGTGGCCCGAGGGCTGCATGCAGCTCATTGGGGTTCTCTGTGTGGCCCACAAGACATTTTGTTTACCATTGCTCATGTACAGGGTTACCAGATTCGGCTGATTTTTGTCCACATAGGTTTCTTTTCCCCTGCCAGTATTACTAATGTGACACACAAGCAAGAGTACGGGACGAGAGGAAGAGGCTGATTGCACACAACATTGGCTGTGAGAGCCAGGTGTCCCTCTGCATCCAGTCAAAGCACTGCCATGGTTCAGTCAGCACACCCTGCAAATTCTAGGTATACAAGTGAGATTAGGAAAACTACCCTATACCCTGTCTTGGTATGACAATCTTGCGGCCCAATGAGATGGAGGGTCACTCATGAAGCCCACTCGCAGCCTAAGTTGCCCATCACTGCTATATGGTATGGTCAGGCAGGGAGAGAATGGACTACATTGTGCTGTAGCCAAAATGGGGACAAATTCTGCATAAAGTCATAGAGTCCAAAACCACAGAACTTCCCCATACCAATTCCTACAGGAAAAGATCCAGTCTTAATGTAAAAGTTATCAGGGATGGAGAATTCATCCTGATTAAGGCTTTGATTTTGTCACAGAGGTCACTGAAGTCACCATGTTTGTGAATTTCAGAGACCTCTGTGACTTCAGCCTATTGGTGGTGGGGCTGGACCTGCCAACCTAGGACCCACTGCTTGTGGCTCCTGTGAGCAGCAGGGAGATATCCAGCTCTTGGCTACCATGAGTGGTGGAGGCCCCCTGTAGTGCCAAGACACCTTAGGCAGTAAGGGCCCTGATTGAGCAATTATGGGCAGTGGGGACCCTGGATCTCTGAGCCAAAGGCCCTGCAGTTGCCCAGGGCTGTGGACAGTGTAGAGCTCCTACTGCTGCAGGCAGTAGGGGACCCCAGAGCACCAGCAGTGCGGGGGTGCTGGCACCTTCTTCCACCCCATTTTGGATATTTTTAGAAAAAGTCTCTGACAGGTCACAGGCTTACACTAACTTTCCTTTATTGCCTATAACCCATCCATGACTTTTACTAAAAGTGCAAGCGATAAAACGTAGTCCTCACCATGACCCTTGGTAGACTGTTCCAATGGCTACATACCCTCACTGTCAAAATGTGTTTGCCTTATTTCCAGTCTGAGTTTGTCCAGCTTCAATGTCAGACTGTGCTACATCTTTCTCTGTTGGACTGAAGGTCCCATTATTAAGTATTTGTTCCTCATGTAAAGATTTATCAACTGTAAACCAGCCACCCCTTCACCTTCTCTCTGTTAATCTACTTTGACTGAGGTCCCTGAGTCTTCAAGCCTGTTTGACAAAGCTCCTCCTGAATCTTGGTGGCTCCCACACTGCCAGGTGGATTATTTGCCTCAAAGGCTCAAGCTGCCCTCAGTTTAAACACCAGCTTGCTGTTTGTTGATCTACTCTTGGCCAGCATGGGTGGAAAAAAAGAGGGCAAACCAAACTTCACAGTCTTTGCGGCTACTCCAAGAAGTACAGGGCACGACAAAGCCTGTACCAAAGCCAATCTTTTCTGCCATGCTGAAATGGGAAGTTAGTGGGTAAAGGTTCTGTGATAACAGCTCTCTGTAATGTCTCTGTATCAGCTGGGCCACTTCCCCACAACTTTTCCCCAGCATCTTCTTTACTGTGGGTTCTTCCTCCTAATACCCACTTGCATTTTCTCCCCCCAAACTCTCTATCACACTTTTTCTCATCAGCACCTTCCTCACGCTGAGCTAACAGAAGGGAAGTCTTTTTAAACCAGTCTCAGCTGGTTCTTAATTGGATCCCAGGTGATCTGATTAGTCTGACTCCCCTGAGTCTGAAAGCCTCCAGGTGTTTTAATTGTCCTGATTGATTCTAGCATGTTCCTGATGGTCCTGGAACAGCCCATCTTAGTCTACCCTGGGAACAGGGACCTATTTAATCTGGGCTAATATATTTCCCTTCTATCACTCTCCCATAGCCCGACCTGGTCACACCTGTCTTCTCCAGTCCCATTTGCTGGAAATGCACTTCTATTCTCTTCTGCTACTGAGACACATAGGCTACGTCTATACTGCAGGCTTCTTGTGCAAGAACTGTTTTGCACAAGAGTACTTGTGCAAAAGGTCTTCCATAAGAGTGCGTCTACACTGCCATGTGCTTTTGTGGAAGAGCATCCATGGCAGTGAGGATGCTCTCTTGCACAAGAAAGCTCTGATAGCCATTTTAGCCATAGGGCTTTCTTGCACAAGAAACCTCTGTTGCCTGTCTACATTGCCTTCTTGTGGAAGAGTTCTTGTGCAAGAGGGATTATTCCTCATGGGGAAATGAATAACTCTTGCGCAAGAAGCCCTGTCTTCTGACGCTTTACTGTTGAGCGTGCAGTGTAAACGCTCTGCAAGTTTTTGCTCAAGAACACTTGTTCTTGCGCAAAAAGCCTGCAGTGTAGACATAGCCTTATTGTCACAGATGCAGGTCCTGGAAAAAAAGTGGCACACGAATGCTAAGTTAGGGTTTGTCTATACTTCAAATGCTACAGCAGCACAGCTGCAATATGGCAGTGCTTTAACATTGGTTGTATATGGGCTGCTACCAGTGGCAAGTTCTTAGTGGTACAAAGTGCCAGCTCAAACAGGCTCACTTTCACCTCAGGTTCACACTGCCAGAGAAACTCTGTTCTTTGGATCCTTTGGTTTTAAGTCACCTGACCAACTAACTTCCATGATGTTAGCAAATACTGGATGGTCTATTTCTGGATTTAGGACTATGAGCATAAATTTGAAACATTAAATTCAGTGATGGGCCTCTCAGTCTTGATGTTGTGGCCTTAATTATACAGAGTTACTCCTGGGGGAGTTCTGCACCACTGTGTGAGTGCATGATTAATGAGCCATACAATGAGCCAAGCTTTTTTGCACAGAAAAAGGCTTGTGCTGGAAAGTTGCTGCAGTTCTACCTTTTGTCCACCAGAGGGTGCTGTGGCAATAGAAAAGAGTGTCAGCTTCCAGCCAGCTAGGGAAGAGAAAGAGCCTACCTTCTTCAAAGTGCCTGTTAGGCCAGGTCAGGAGACAGGGGGAGACAGACAGCATGCGGCTGCTGGGTGGGGTTCAGACAGTCTAGTGCAAGAGGACAGACTGGGGCAGAGGCTGAGTGGGAGTGGAGGTGCAGGGTTACATGGGGATGGGGGCGTGGGTATCTGAGTGGGAGTGGAGAGACACATGTGGGCAAGGGGTGCAAGGACACATGGGGATGGGGGGCAGATGTGCCTACATGGGGGAAACTCCCTAACAGTTCTTCCCTGTCCCCTAAAAATCCTGTTCCGTACTTTCCCCACCCGTACTCAATAACCCTCCAAGTTCATATCTCGGCTTCTTCCCAGGCATAGTAAATGAAAAACTTGCAAAAATATATCATTACAGAAAACACAGTTTACAAGCTTACATAAACCATTTTAGTCTCCATTTCCTTTGAGCAAATTTGGTTTAAACACAAAATGATGGAATTTTATAGCTGCTTTAAGTGACCAGCAGTGAACAGAGCAGCAGCCAACAGAGGGAGTTTGTCTGGGAAAAGTCTGAGAGGAGCTCAGGTGAGTGTGGC